TGAACCTGTCAGCACAAATTCAGTCATTTAGATTCTGTCTAGCTTTCATCTTACAAAAATGATCATATGAGAAGGACTCAAGAATTATAATTGCTAATGTGTGATTTCTGTTTTTATGCAAACATTTGCAGATCATGGATATTCAAGTATCTTAATTTTATAATAAAACAAAACTAAATTGCTCCCTTTCAATGCACAGAAATGAACAAATAAAATATTCATGAGGAACAGCCTTGGTAAAGGTTAATGGTTTAAACTAGCTGTGTATTCACGCGTTAGGGCACAATTAATTAACTTTATGGTATGGCATTGTTATGTACATAGCCTACCATAAACATACAGTAATTTTGACACAGGAGGCTCGTAGGTCCATCTAGATCATGTTGGCACCCTGTGGAATAATCATATCTTTGAAATGGTCGATCATCTCCATTTCCATTACCTCTGGACCATGCAAATGGACTTCTCCAGCCTGGTATAAGGCACTGTCCTACTCTCTAGCGAAAAGGGACAGCCCCCATCAAAAGGGGGAGAACTAACAGCCCCCAACTAAAGTCACGACCCCCAGCAAAAGCCCTGGCCTAATGCTCCTGGCAACTCCATCTTGCCAACCAACACTTTTCCCAACTATTTCTTAGAATGACAGAATCCCTACAGCGTGGAAACAGGCCATTTGGCTCATCAAGTTCATACCAACCCTCCGAAGAGGATCCCAACCAGACTCTCCACAAACACCCCACTGTCCCTGTAACCCTTCATTTCCCATGGCTAATTCATCTAACCTATACATTCCTGGACGCTATGGGCAATTTAGCATAGCAAATTCACCTAACCTGCATATTTTTTGGACCGAGAGGGTAAACCATGGCATCTGGAGGAAGCCCACGCAGACACAAAGAGAATGTGCAAACTCCACACAGACAGTCATCCGAGACTGGAATCAAACCCAGTTCCTAGCGCTGAGAGGCAGCAGTGCTAACCATTGAGCCACTGTGCCACCTGTAAATTTGCTATCCCTCAAAATCAACCACTGTTTCTCTCCCATGTAGGCTTACTAATTAACCTATTCCGAAAGCCTCAATTTTGTTAAATATCCTTTATGTCTAGCTACTGAAACACATTTTAAATGTCTGTACTGATCAAATCCACTGCACTTCCTTGATGAATCTTCCCTGCTGCTTCGTCAAAAAAATTCAATTAGATCACTCACGCAGGATTTTACAAATCTGTGCTGGCCATTCTAAATTAAGTGTCTTTTTTCTCCCCCTAATAATTATGATTGAGAAGGGATGGAATGGTTCAGCTCTTTCCTATTTCTTCTTTGACTGTAACAGGTTTTCTAACATTTAGGAGGGATGTATTTGACAATTCAGCGCATACTTAACTGTTTACAGTAGGATTAAAAAGAATGAGACTGACAGGTTTCTAATAAGCATTTAGTCTCATTGGGCTAAAATCCAGAAATATTTTTAACAAAGCTAAAGATGTAAAATTACATCCAAACCTCTACAACTCATGCTCAAACCCACACTCGAGCTGAATGTGCAAAATAGAATTCTCAGAATAGGGGATAAACTTCAGCAAAGTTAAAAGTTTAATGAGAAAAAAAAAATACAAGTGTTTCTGGTTGTCAGTGGCTGTTTTGGGCAATCAGTTGTCTCCAGCATTGGATGATTATTTGGATAGAAATGGTGCGCAGGGATATGGGGAAAAGATAGGGGATTGGCATGATAGGCCAAATGACCTCCTCCTGGGCCAAAACAATTTGATGATTCTGAAAGGCTATGGTGTTTCCTTGCAGTTTAAGATTGTAGCTAATGCAAACACCACTGTGAAACTGAAGTTTTCCTTACAAGTGCTCTGTTTGCTTGCAGGAATATAGATAATTTATCAAATCTTATTTGATTGTAAAAGAAGATAAAAAAAAGCATAAGAGAACATAAGCTTTCTTTTACAGCTGCTGGTGGTCTTCTAACTCACCCAAATGGATACACAGAACTTGATTAATCACACAACTTCTCTCTACGTCCCATCAGAAGTTCAAAACCACTCTTTCATATTCCAATAGGTACCTTTAATTACTTCACAGCCATCTTAAGAAAATCTAGATCTTTTGCCTAAGGAATTAACTACTGAATGGTTAATTCTTCCATTATTGAAATGTTTCTATTTTGATAAGTCTGGAAGTAAGCTATTTGTACAATTGTAGGAGTAATTGTCCCTTTTTTAAAATTCACTAATGGGACATGGGCATCGCTGGCTGGCCAGCCAGCAGTTTTTGCCCATATCTTGTCGTGTGGTGAGCCACCTTCTTGAAATGCTGCAGATCATGTAGACCTACTGTGCCATTAGGGAGTGAATTCCAGGATTTTGAGCCAGCAAACAGCGAAGGAACAGCAATATATTTCCAAGTCAGGATGGTGAGTGGCTTGGAGGGGAACTTGCTGGTCATGGTGTTACAACATATCTGCTGCCATTGTCCTTCCAGATGTAAATATCTGTGGGTTTGGAAGATGTGGTCTAAGGATCTTTGGCAAATTTCACCGTTCTCTCGTGGGCTCTTCAAAGACCCTGAGCCTCTATCTCAATCTACACAGCAAGACAACTTATCCGCTCAAAGCATAACAAGTCTTTCAGTATATGCTATTGGTTTTGGCTCCATTCCTTATCTTTACTTTCTCCCCTTTTACTGATACAAGTACTCACATATAACATCACTCCATTTAGTTGATCCCATTTCACTACTTAAAATAATGGTCCCTGCTTTATTATTGCATTTTTAATCTCCATCGTGATGTCCACTCTAGGCACCTTTGGTTTTGCATACATTTCAGGACATCTTCAACACAAGGCCTCATGCTTCCCAATATTGCACATACGTGCATCAATGTACCACTGAGCACCATAATTGGTGCCATGGTGCTATGGTCATGAAAACTTCACGTAGAAAATATTGTAGAGATCTGTGAAGGTGCTTGAGAATTCCCTGATAGCAAGATTGCTGAACTCCGATGGCTTCTTTTAGTTTGCTTCACAGAATTTCTGCAGCAAGAAACTGGACAGAACTTAGAGAAGTTGATTTCAAAGGTGAGCTGCTTCTTCTACTTGACATAAGGAGCTATTTTATGTCAGTGTAAGAAAGTGCAGCCATTTTAAAGGGCTCCGAGGAAGAGTCACTCAACCTGAAACATTAACCTTGATTTCTCTTCACAGGTGCTGCCAGACCTACTGAGCTTTTTCAGCAATTTCTATTTTTGAGCCATTTTAGAGTCATTTTCAATATAGGCCTCTGTAAACCCATTGTTATTCTTAGTTGTTCCTAAATAATTTAGTACTTTGACTTTCTCTTGTACTGTTCAACATTCTCACATCTGCTTCTATTTGCTGGTATCCCACCCTTCATTAATTGAGTTTAAAACCTTTCCAGCCACACTAGTGAACGCCTCCATTAAGGCATTGGTCCCCATTCTGTTGAGATACAACTTTTCTCTTTTAAACATATTGCTCTCTGCATCTGAAATAAACCCAGTGTCCAAGAATCTGAATAGCTCCCTCCTCTTCCTTAATGCCAGGCATCAATCCTTCTTATCTTTGTATTCCTACTCTTGCAGGTTGATAGCACTGCAAGCAATCCAGAGACTGCCACCTTTGAGATACTCCTTTACAAATTTCTTGCTGAGTTCCCAAAAATTTCACAGAAACAAAAGGTGTGAAAAATTGGGTGAAAAATAGAAATTTTTGTCAGTGGAAATAGTTGCGCTGACATGGAACATGTGCAGGGACAGAAAAGGAATCAATTCTGCTTCATTTGGGGCAACTTAAGCAGTGCAGCTAATTATGTGTGGTAACCTTGGCTGTTGTCAGCTGCATTATTTTACTACGCAATTTGACTTTAGTCAATTGTAAACAACATAGCTAAGAAAAAGAAATCCTATTTTTAGCAGAACAAATTCCACGCATAAATAAGACATACAAAAGTCAGAGTGTTAATGTCTGGTTCAGAAATTAATATCTCAAATAGGATATGAAATCGTACGATTCTGGAAGTCTAATATGCCTGGTGACAATGCAGTGATGGTAAGGATGAAAAGTGTAATCTGTTTTGTTAATTTTTGTGGTTCCCAGTGGCTGCAAGTTTTGTTACCTTTCAAAGAAAGGTTAGCATTACAGCTTTTCCATAAGCAAGTTCTTTGCTGGTTTGGTCAATACAGTCATTCTAGGTTTAGACTAAATCTATGTCTAGATATTTCTTACATAGATGTCATTTCTCAGGCTCATAGCAATGGCAGTTAACAAAATTAAACACCTTAATACATTCCACAGAAGACACCAGAAAGAGCAGAGCGTTGATAAAAATAAAATTAGCATAATAACCAAAAGGGTGCTCAACAAATGTTATAGTTTATAACTTATTATCATCTTGCCTTCTTGTACAAGGTACTGCCATGAATTTGACAAGACTAGGAGAAATAACAACATTTCAGTGTTACAAAAGCATTAAATATGGTGAATAGGATAAAATTAAGAGTTTAGGGCAAATTAGTAATTTCAATCAGTCTAGTTTCTCTGCTCCATAAGTGATACAAATAAATATTTTAAGTACGCAATCTAAGAATCACAGGGAATTTTAGAGTGTCAAAACCACCACTCCTATTTTAACAAACTAACTGTTCACTCTGAATAGTATGTTGTGAAATCTCGCCGTGAACAAACTGGTCACCATGTTTACCTAGGCAGACTAATTTTAGAATTCTGCAGTACAGAGAAGGGGCATTTGATATCTAAGTTTTCTTTTTGTCTCCATTTAAATAATGTTTACCACTAGACAGTTTAACATGTCTGTTTCAAAACCCATCTGGCTAACTTCCAAAAAAACTGTAGACTCCGCTTCAATTATGTCCATTCCACATTTAAACGCATCACAAATGCAACATTTTAAAACTAGTATTCATAACAAAAGATATTTAGCCTGAAATAATATAATGGGCTGAAATACTTACACATTACGGCAAGGAAGGGGCTTATAGAAGCCTACTTCTTTTCCAGTGAAGGTATTCACCAAGCCGCTATAATTTCTGCAGGTAATATTAGGAGCTGGCATACAAGGAACTAAAAATAAAATTAGAGGAAAATGTTATCTAAATTATAGTATGTTTTGCTTCATATTCATGAACAGAGCCTGTATGTTAATGCACATAATCTAGTTTTTCGACATTTATTACTATACACGTGCTAACATCTATGAAAATGAATGTATTTATTTAATATTTAAAGCAATATTTAAAGTTTAAAAATTCAGTATCCAATGGAACTTCATTAGATTCACGTTGCAACATCTCAACATAAACCTGTTTCCATGTGTCAAGGGGCATGGGGAGAAAGCAAGCGGTATTACGTTGAGGGGGATCAGTCATGATCATGTTGAATGATGGGAGTGGACTCATGATCCAAATGGCTTCCTCTTACTTCTACTTTCTATGTCTCATTTCATCCAACTTTGAACACAGGAAAAATATTCCTCAATTAATTCTGTGCTGACCACCTTTAACTGAAACACCTACATCTTGCAAAAGAAAAGTGACAAGTGAAGAAACTTAATGAACAATATGGGAAAAAATTATGCCCTGTTGTCCACTGACAACATTATATTATCAAGGCGACACCTTGCATCAATATTATCTCAATATTGGGAACAATTCTCGACTGAAACTGTTTCACAAATGAGGGGCTTTTGGCACAACATTCAATGTAAGAATTCTAGAACTGTGGTGGCAGAAACATCTTTACAAATGGAATTGAAAGATCAAAGTTTTGCTTCCAGGGTAGTGATGAAGGCAGAAACTGACATTCAAAACTAGATTGGAGATATGTATGAAGGCAGCAGTTTCTTTACATGGTGGGGTATGTATTTTCATATACAAGTGACCCAACTTCCACTTCATGTTACTACCAAGGACAGTACATTGGTAGGAAAGCATCAGAAGCGTAGACAATTCATTGAAAATACAAAATATTGTGCCTTTAAGACTATTTGGTGGGAACAAGCTTGAAGACATTTTCACAGGTCATTGTAAAATTCATATACAAGTAGTTTTTGCTGTGGGACTAATAAATACTATAGATACATGTTGCTTAACATTAATTGTTCTCTGGGGTGAAACAGCGAAACATCAAAACAAGGAGTGGTCTGATCTAATATTTCTCAACTCCATTTTTGTTTGCTTTTTCCCTGTAATCCATGATTTACTTTCTGGTTTTTCCATTATTATAACCTCAACATCCAAACCACTCATTTCTCAATAATAAATGAAGTCAATCAAACATCTGATATAAACACAGAAACACTGCTGCTGCTTATCTGGCAGCTGTACCAACACCTGCGAAGACAGAAACAGAAATGCTTCAGGTTGATCACCGTTGCTAAATCTGTTTTGAGTATTTCCACCATTTTCTGTTTTTATTTACAGGTTTCTATAATCCTTGGTACTTTCCTTTCATCTAAATCAACTTTTATTGCACATATGTATCTAAACAGGAAAAGGCTCATGCATCAGAAAGTTGACAACAATTCTTGGAGTTCTTCCTTAAAAGGTCAAAAATAAAACTAACAGTCTTGAAACAAGTAATTTTCCCTTTGCTACAAAAGCCAGGCATTATGGTTGATAAGAAAATACCACGTACCAAAAGCTGTTTCATTTGTGCAATTTTCTGGCTCTTGTGTTACATCATTTATCTTAGGACTATCACAAATGTATGTATGAAAACAAATATTAAGGAAACTTTTCTAAAATTATATATTTTCGGTTTATCTATATTTAGTGCTCACCAATAATTTTGAAAGTCAATAATTATCAATAGAAACTAAGCAGTAGATCACATATTTCCGGTAACATTTTGTAAAATAGTTGCTTGACTATAACACGACAAACTTATCAACCATCCTAATGCACAAGTAAAACCGGTCACATAACAGTTGTGTTGCAAATAAGTGCCAGTAGAAATTACATATTAAATTTTACTCTCTCCCAACACTTGTTGATTGTGCAGTTGGTAATAAAAGGAATTGATATCCACATACGTTATATATTACAGATCACGCATACAGGAAGAGGATTACTACATTATGATAATGTGGACAATACGGGTTCTGTTAGAACAGTACATCCTCTTTGTTGTTTTCAAGTGACAATTTAACAGAATTGTAACTTGTTTTTTTGTAAATGCATGGAACTCACTACTAACAGCCCTGCAGCGTTGACCCTGAATCTTCATTCCTAACGCGATAATTTAAGAATAAGACCAGACCTGGTGTGCCCTCCATTAGAAAAGAAACTCGCGCGATTGCTCAATTACTTTTTGGCTGTCTGGCCAACCAACTTATCCAAGGATAAAAGATGGAAAGTAAAGGATATTGCCCGATTCGCAGTTCTTCGCATTTATCAACATCGACAAGGACAGCGCCTATGAAACAAAAGCAAAGAAACAGGAGACAGAGCCGTAACTGCCACCGGTCCCTGGGTAGCGCCATCTTGGAACCTGATCACGTGTCGCTGCAGGAAGCAGGAGGCCAGTCCCCTCCCTCAGCAGATGCACGGGACACAACACTGACCTGGAAATTGCACTGAAACTCACGCTGCAGACAAGGGGACACCGTTACAATTGTGTCCAAATGTAACACTGAAAAAAAAACACCCCAGAACTCCCATCAAATATCATGGACGTGCAAATACCACCGGTCTTGGTATCCAAGACCTCTGCCCGAGCACCGCACAGATATGCAAACATAACACTGGTAACCAAAACTAAACCATCAGCGTTAATAGGAAGGCGGGGGGTCCTTGGGCAGGTTTTAGGTGGTTTGGGCGGGTGAAGGGGAAGAGGTTCGGAGGAGGCTACAGCCTGTCAGTTCTGGCTGGGGAGAGTACAGTGCTGGATAATAAAGTAATACATTGGCGGGGGGCAAGGGAGGTTCACTCCGACCGGTAATGGGTCCTTCTCGGAGAGGGTCAAGTCCCTGAGGGATTACAGCCATTTCCAGGCTGAGGAGGGGAGGGGGGGAAAGAGTACACATTCCGAGGTGGAATATAAAGTCCCAGTGCCTGGGGAATTCAGTAATTCATGGTCATGGAGAGAGCTGTCAGTTCCCACGGTCGGGGGTGGGGGGGGGGAAGGGGGTTGGTGCAGGTGCTCCGCCTCACTCTGCCCGTGTCTCAGGTGAGTGCTCTCAGTGTAATGTCATTTCCGTTCGGGCAGGTGAGGCCGGGAGCCGGGAGCCGGGAGCCGGGGAGTGGGCCCAGCTCGGGGTTGGAGGGGGGGCGCAGAGACACAGGTAAAGACGCGGAGCGGCGGCTGTGGTGAACTGCAACGGGCTAACGGCAGCGAGGTTTCCCGGAGAAAGTTGGGCGAAATCAGTTGAAGTTGCAAAGTGTAAATACAGTCGGGCCTGGAGCTGCTACTTGAGGAATTCCCCCGGACCAAAACTTTACAGGGAGCAAACTTTTTTTAAAAAAATCTGATCAGGAGGTGACATTCTTGCGAAATATTTTAGCCATATTTCAGCGCACTTGCTTCATCTTGGTGGTTTTCGGATAAACATGTTCGGTTAATGTTAAATTTGCCTGGTTAATAAATATCATGTCCCGTCTGTATTGGGCCGATCACACACCGAAAACCAGACAGTCGTAAGCAAGTCCTAATTTTAAGCCTACCTTCATCCGATCAGGGATTTAAATCTTAAATGTGTTCTTTGCCATTGCCGTCATAGTGATGACCGATATAAAATTTTAATATATATTAGAAACTATCTTAATAATACACGTAGTTTTTAAATGTTAAGTATATTACGTAGACTTCTTTAGACGCTGATTTCTCCATTACAAGTGTAAAGGTTCTGAAATGAAAGAATCTCGGTCTTAATAGCAAACTATTGAAACCTTATTTAGTTATAGAAAAACATGAAATAAACGTGGAAGCTGCCTCAATAGTGGCTGAAGTCAGTTGAAAGTGCTGATTTGATTTGATTAATTGTTATCGCATGTACTTAAGTGCTGTGAAAAGTTTTGTTTTGAGTGCAGTACAGGCAGATCATAACACATAAGGACATAAAGATCATGGGGTGTTTAAACAGACCTCGAGTCTTACAAGATTATGGTCGTACAGGAGATGGACAAAAGCAGGTCAACATTGAATTGAAATTGGAGAAGTCCGTTCAGCGGTCTAATAACAATAGGGAAGAAGCTGTTGTTGGACCTGTTCGTATGTGTGTTTGGGCTTTTTGTAGCTTCTGCCTGTTGGAAGAAAGTATAATTGGGGTGGGAGGGGTCGTTGATGATGTTGGCTGCCTTTCTGCGGCAGTAAGAAGTGTAGTTGGAGTCCATGCATGGAAGGTTGGCTTGCGTGATGGTTACAACTTTATGTAACTTCTTACATAGCAGGGCAGAGCAGTTGTTGTACCAAGTTGATATGCACCCAGATAGAATGCTTTCAATCGTGCATCTGTAACAGCAGTTTGCCATTGCCTACTCCGTGTCTGTGTAACAGATGTTTCAGAAGCAGTAACTTGCACTTACTCTTAAGTTGAACCTGAATGTCTTGCAAGAAACCATCATGTACCTGAGATGTAATATAATTTGTTAATAACTACTATGTTATGAATCTTTACTGTTCTTGAAGCTTGACATATTATATGGTTCATGAGGCATCTTTCCCCGCTTAGTATCACTAGCTTAGACTAATACCACTAGAAGGATTTGTGGTAGAAAATTTACCAAAGACATTGCAGATAGGTTAGCATATCATATCATTAGATGGTGACAATGATAAGGATTTTGACTTATAATATGATGGCAGCAATAGACACAGCCTTAAGAAAACTTCAGTTGTACGAAAACCATAGTCTTCCATGGAGAATAAAGTAGAAAAAATTCCAATCAGAAAACTGAATGTGACTTTAAATATTCAGTGGTTCAAGAGCACACAGAACCTGTCAGTTTCCATGAGGGCACTGATAGCAGTAATAAGTCTGCCCGTAAAATCTTACAATATCTATTAGCATTGAAAAATATTGAAAGAAACTTGAGCAGACTGTGGAGAGTTTTACCAGAGCTACAAGGGAAAACATCTGAATCATAAACTTGGGATACAACACTTGATATTGGATACCTGATATGAATTAAGACCCTGAGTGGAAGAGTGAAAATACATTGGGGATTTGGGACGGAACAAAAGAAAATGTTCAGTTGTGCAAAAACGGTGAAAATGTTTGCGTTTGAGGAGAAATTGTAAGATACAATAGTAAAAGAAGGCTTAAATTGTTACAATTAATAAGTGAGAATTGTTAAACTCACTTAGATTTGGGAAAAACTACCAAAATAACGATTGAAGAAAAGATCACACGTGAAGAATTAGCATTGAGAGATGCTGGCATCGCTGGCTGGCCAGCAATTATATCTCATCCCTACTTGTCCTTGAGAAGGTGGTGGTGAGCTGAATTCATGAAGGACTGCAGTTCATTTGCTGTAGGTAGACCTAAAATTATTATTTGACTAATGAGAATGAGAAAGCCAGAGACAGTTGATTAAAACAATAATTTGAAGGAAGAAACAAATTTTGATTGCTCAACTGGAAATACTTATTTCAGATGTTGTGTTAGTGCCACACTATTTTTATGAATTTAGAAGAAGCAGAAATAGTAAAACGGTGATGAAAACCAGAGAAGAGAAGGATAACAGTGCAAATTTACAGTCTTTCCACCATCTTTGGAGGAAATTTAAAAAAATACAGTATTTGTTCATTTTTAAAGCATTTCAATAATCTTTTTAAATGCTTGAAAAAAATTCAGCAGAAATAGGATGATTTGCAAATGTAAAGCTTTCAACTTGAACAGAATTTAATCTGAAAAGAAAAATAGGATGATAGAAGTAAAGAATTCTTCATTAAGATGGCAAAGCTTTTTTAATGACAAGGCCTCTTTGCAATTTATTTTAATTCTTTGATAATTAAAGAAAACAATCACAAACACTTAAGTTTGATGAAAATTCAATATTTAACAGAATCAAATAATTGTACAATTTAAAACTGACCAGTAAACCAGCTGCATCCACAAAAACTATAAAAGTCCTGCGACAGTTTTCAAGTGAATAATTTAAATTACAGAAACAAAGGCGGTTAAATTTAAGAGTAAGATAAGACACTTTGCAAATCATTTAGACAGGGCATCAACTGAATGAGAGAGACAGTTTTTGTGATGTAGGATCTCATCATAATCACCAAAGAAGTCTAGAAAAGAACAAGTGAACATATAGGTCCAGTAGCAGATCGTGTTTTAAAACCTCTGAATGTAAGAGAAGAAACTGATACCTTTGACACAACTGTAAGAGCATTTAACAGTCACTTTTTATATCAAGTATGATTTGTGTAATGGAGAATGCAAGATTTAGACAAAGAATACAGCTTCTTGGAGAACCTGTTGAGAACTTCTTAAATGATATTTAAACACTTTTTAGAATTTTGTGATTATAGTACTTTATAATCAGAGCTAATTTGAGACAGATTGTCAGAAGAATATTTGATTCATGTATTTCCGATACGTTGTAATGGAAACATGATCACACATTACAAATAACTATTGAAATGGTGACATCCAAAAAAGCACAAAAGAATAACGGGGACGGAAAATAAAATTAGCTCAAGAAGTTCATCAGACTTCAGCATCTCACTAAGGGATGATGGCTCAGTGCTTAGCACTGCTGCCTCAACTCACCAGGGATCCAGGTTTGATTCCAGCTTCGGGTGACCGTGTGGAGTTTGCACATTTTCCCCATGTCTGTGTGGGTTTCCTCTGGGTGCTCCAGTTTCCACACTCAAGTCCAAAGATGTGCAAGTTAGGTGGGTTGGCTGTGCTAAATTGCCTATAGTGTCCAGGGATGTATAGGTGAGGTGGATTAGCCATGGGAAATGCAGGGTTATGAGGATAGGGTAGGGGGTGTGTTTGGGTGAGATGCTCTTTGAGTCTACACGTCTCTCCGATGAGCTGAATGGCCTGCTTCCATACTGCAGGGGCTGTATTAGTAAAAATATCCCATAGAAGAGCAATACAAAGAATAATTCTTAAATTTTTTGGTAGAAATTGGAGTTGATTTTAAGAAAAAAACATAAACAATGTCCATATGAATTTACAAATTGTGAATAGGAGAAGGCTACTTGGCTTCTTGAGCCTACACCAGCGTTGAGTTAGATAATGGCTGATCTGATTGCTCCATATTCTTGCCTACCCTGACAATCTTTCACCCCATTGCTTATCAAGAATTGACTTACCTCCACTTTAAAAATATTCAAAGATCCTACAAAACTTGCATTCGCATGATAAAGTTTTACAAGGAGGTGGGACATTTTCAAACTGTGGAAAAGTCAAAAACAACTACTGAGTCACAGAATTAATTATTCTTACGCACACAAAGTGGTTGACAGCAACAGCAAATGTCTTTGGAAGATAACCTAGAATAGTGGGACATTCATGAGCATGCATATTATGTAATGGAATGCCAACTGTGGAAGATACAAATCAACATGTCCTTGGTGTAATAGTTGACTCAACAACCAGAAATGACAGATTAAATAGCTTAAGAGTCATCTAGCTAACTTCAACCTTGATTCTGTGGTGATTGTTACGGTATTATGTGGGAAAAACTCTTTTGACTGAAGAGAATAAAACTATAACCTTTTGGACAGAGAATTTCACAGCACAGGCAGAACTATGAATCAAAGGTTGCTGACAGGCCTCTTAAACTATACTGAAGTCTATGAAACGGTTTTCAGTCAGCAGAAACCAAGACTTCCTCCGTCTGAATGGAAAAGTGTGCTTCAATCCTAAATATCTGCAGAATGTTGGAAAACCTCAAACAGCTAAGTGCTAACAATCAATATGACTCAACTCAACATGAGGAAGACTTTGTATATTTCAGAAGAATATCAGCAGAACTTCAAGGCAAATATGTATATGTATTGTAATACACTAGATTAATCACATCGGTATCTGACAACACTTTTTGATTGAGAAATCTGTTAATGCTGCTGGCTTCACATTATTCAATTATTTAATTACCTTTCAACCATGGATAAATTATTGAATTTTGATATCCTTCACTGCATAAATGGCAGGAGTTGACAGTAGATTCTTGACCCAGCCACTTCTTATATTGAGAAGAAGCAAGACCAAATCACTTCAAATGAGCTGAACTGTCTATGATTGTCATTTTGTTAGGTTGAATTATCTAAAATCATACATGTGAGAATGGAAGGATCACATGTTGTTTGGTTTCATTGCAATGTTAAAAGGAGAAGCTTTTTTTCTTCAGAAATGCCAGAGAATACAATGTGTTTAAACCTTGTAATTTGGAAGATGTCAGAAATGCATTCTCACATCTTGTGGTGAGTAATGTTGCTCACCATACTGCCTTTGAAGAACTACGTGCCACCGCTGAACCAAGAAGTCAAAACCATTCTCATCAATTCTGTGATGGCTAATGTCGGCGGCCGGGGGTGGGGGGACAGAGGGGGAGGGAAGGGGGGGGGAGGTGGTGTGGTGGAGTGCGGTTAATGTGGATTGAATGAGGAGGAGAGGAGGTAAGCACAGTTCTGTTGGATTCAGGGTACTTGCAAAATGAAGATAGGATCTTTCCACTAAGAATCTTATTTGACTTGGTAAGCCAGGCAAATGGACATTGTTAAGGAAATTGTTGTTACTGGATCAGACAGTCTAGCTCATGTATCACAGTTGAAGAGCAGTATCTGTGAATGTGAGGCAGAAATTCTTCAGTCAGCTCCTGCTTACTCTGTAATCCTTTGTTGCAGTGAGAAGGATGGTCCCCACTGGATAAGATATCAAAGTTCTTGTATGCTGTATGAACTTAGGTGGTGAAACCTCAGTGGCACCTCTGTATTCTTGGCTTTGTCAGTTTTATTTAACCTTGCTGGATGTGACCTCAAAGAGGGAGTGAACATATAGAAACCTCAAAAACCTGTGTAAATTTCTCAGTTGCTGGGGCCTGCTACTTTCAGATTAAAAGCTGCTAAATGAGAAATAAATATGTGCCTAATAGTTGATACCAGGCAAAGCCAAAAATGTCCCACTGTGGTGATCAGGACAAATAGATACAGTGTAGCAAGGTAATTTGGTTATTGAATTAGAAACAGATCTGAGTTGATTGCCATGTATATTTTTGCATTTCTTGACAGTAATATCTCTCACTGTTGTCGATCTTTTTTCGAAAAAAAACTAAAGAAACGAAGATATAATCATGCCAGAAAAGCCTGTAACAGGTACTGCCTTAGTCCACTTGTTTACTTTTTAAGCAACTGTAATATCTATTATCTGTACTAGTATATTAAAATGTTTGGATTCCTCTTCCACTTTGTTCTATCTGCTGTATCTACAATCAAATGATCGCGATTCTTGTACAAGGAAACCAGATCTCTCTGCACTGCAGCATTCGGCAGACTTTCTCTATTTGTGATATTCTGATTCTATATTCTTGCTGCCCAGGAGGACAGCCTGATTTTTTTGTTTTGCCCAGTCTCTTAACCTATCTGTATACCTTTGCAGACACTTTGTATCCTTCTCACAAGTTGATTTCCTACCTGTTTGTGTCTCATATGGCTAAAATGCAATTGGTCCCTTTATCCAAGTCGGTAGATTCTAACTAGTTGAAGTCTCGGCTTCATTTCTTGCAGTTTTCCAACCTGAAAGCCATCTATTTATCCCTAATTTTTTTTTATTCACCCACGGCACGTGGACACCTCTGACTAGGCTAGCATTTATCACGGATGTGTTATAAATGCTACTATATCACCCCCAATATCAAGAGCTGTTATTGTGTGTGGTAAACACTAATGCTGTCCCTTAACCATGCCTTTTTTGAATTCCAAATACATCACACCTGCTGTTACCCTTTAAATACATTCTTATTGAATTCTAATCCATTTAGGCATTACAACTAATGTTTTATAAGTCAATTTTGATTGTAAGTGAAGTTTGAGAGAGCCAATATAAAAGGTTATTAGTCCTGATTTAATTGCAGGACCCACATCCAGGTACAAACATGTTTTCATGAGCTTTACATAATTTATCAAGTTTATCATAAATACAAAAGGAACAATATTTAAAACCAATGTTTTTAAGTTGATCCAGTTTGGGTGCCAGTTCTTGACAGTGAGTACAGGTCTCCTGCTCTGTGTACTGAAGGTTTTCTCTGTGTTTAGTCTTCCTTGTGCACCAAACCAATAACATCTGCCATTTATCAAATTAACTACCCCACAATGTGTGATCAGAGATATTCTGAACTCTAATTGGAATATTAGTGCATGAACATCGCATGATCAATCTCGGATTGGCTAAACCCATTGCCTGGTTGGTTTCTTTAAAAGTAACGGTTGTCTTACAGACATCACTTTCTGCCATCTCTTCATTCATTCTTTGATATCCAATCACTTTGTAAACTTATCTCTTTTAGAACAGTTTGTTCCTCTTTGCTTAGTAACTCCATAGATCTCCACCAAGATGATGCCGTACCAATGAGGCAATTTAAGTGTCTGCCTTGATTGTGTAGTGTCACTTTCTAGTGATTTAATATAATCCTAAATGTCCCAACAGTTATAACCATAAAGTTCAAATTCAGTTGCAGCGTAATATATAAATAGCCATAGGCCTGTTGCATACTTCATTACAATAATAAACAATTTCAAAAATAGCTGTGTCTTTGACCGTAAATGTTTTTACTTCAAAACATTCTCACATTTGTTAGTCTAAATGTACACTAACTTGAACTAGAAAAGCAATCATAAAATCATAAACCAATAACCTGTCTTTTTCCATATGGCTTCCTTCCTTATGGAAACTGTTTTACAAGTAACATAATTATCAGAATTTAATCCCGCATTTGCTTAATACGGTCAAAATAATTAATTATTGGAAAACAACTCAATCTTACATATTTTTCAAATATACTTTTTCTCTCTCAAAACCATGCTCAGTCTTTCTGATTGTATTGTAGTTTTCTAAAATGCCCTCTCACTATCTGCTTGATAATGGGTTCTAGCACTTTTGTAATGATGTGATAGGAAACCACAGGCCAGTTATCCTTTCTTGAATAGCAGTATTACACTTGAGGTTTTCTACCAAAAAATTGAAATTTAAAAAGGGACTGAAATTTTAACTTCATGGTTTGTCTTTCATGAGAATATTTCACCAACATTGACTTTTTAACTTATGAACACTATTGAAGCTTGATGGCTTAAAATTCTCTTGACATTGTATCAGACTCAAACCGCTGCATAGAATGGGGAAAATACATGCTACAGTGATTATGAGAAACTTGTAGGTAGCCTGCTTTGAGGTTAGCAGCTTACCGGAAAATGTAGTCCATTATCGATCAAGAATTGGGCACAAAGCAACAGATTATTTATTTTTAAATATGAACAGTAGTAACCAACATTATTCTGCTTGAGCTCAACTAAGAAACATGAAACTCACTTTCTATACATTTTAAAACACATGCTTGACCTTGTGGTATGAGACACTTTGCTATTTCAAAACTAGTTTCGCTTCTCTACGAGTCAGCAAAATATTAAAAACAGAGAACTTTTCTGCTGAGTGGAAATAAAAATAGGCTGTCCACCTGATCTCAACGCCTAGGAAGAGTGTGATTTTTAAAAATAGACCTGCTTACCCAGGTATCACCAAGTTGTGGCACAGGAAATGTGACAAAAAAGAAGCATGTTCTAGATACAAATTTATTACTAATTTCAATTGATTACCCATAGTGAAGTGGAAAATGTGGTGTTTTGATGTAATGAGCAGTTATCAACAAAACCCCTTCAGGGAGAGTAACATAGAGAAACTGATGTAGAAAATCTGCATGACATGCAGTATATTTTTCTGAATATCCTGCGGTGTTGCTCTTCGAACTGTGCACCATGTGTTTTTTCCCCATTTGGATGTTTGGTGGTTAATTTATTTTAGGTTTGTCTGATTATTCCATTGTGCTGTAAAGTTTTTACCTTTAGTCAGGAGCTCACAATCAAAAATCCCCCCCAAACAGTACTCACTGCAGTATCCCTAGAAAAATGGGGCCACAATCTCATCTTTAACTCCTTTCACTTCCACGCTTTAGCTCTCAACGCCTTTAAGTTTCTCACTTCAAGACTTCTATAATATGCCAATAGTACAGATGTCTTCTTTGTGGCAACAGATTAATCTGTGAGTCAGTGTGAACAATATCATGAAAGATTGACTAGAATGTGTGCAGTTATAAATGTCTTACATAGTTGCAATCAAAGTATGTTAATTTTTTTCTGAATTTTTCATATGCAGTCGATAAACAGCAGATTTTGCAAGCAGTGGCACGCTTGCAGTCTCAATTGCGTGAGAAAGGAGATTCCTCTCAAAATGAGAAGCTAAATATTTTACGTGATACAATTACAAGCCCCCTTTTTAATCAAATATTAACTCTTCAGCAGTCGATCAAACAGCTTAAGGAACAGGCAAGTACTTAAACATATTACTATGATATTTGTATGTGTGGTTCTGTCTTCTTTTGCTTTCTTTGATAAATACATTGCCTTCTCAGATTAGTGGTATCTGATGTAAATTTTATAATTTTATATTTTGTGAGTTATAAAGAAATGGACAATTTTTGACAAATATAATTATTTTATCTAGATAAAGGTTTGCTACTTCTAGCCATGCAGCAACTAATTTACAAAGAGTACAATCCAGACTGGGCAAAATCGCTATAAATCTTTGGAATGAATCTAAATTGTCCCATTGTAACTTTAAAAATCTTCCTTTTAATGAGTGAATACGGAATGGGGTTGGTTACACAATTGGCTGGATGGCTGGTTTGTGATGCAGAGCGATGCAAACGGTATAAGTTCAATTCCCACACCAACCGAGGTTACCATGAAGGACTGTCCTTCCCAACCTCTCCCCTTGCCTGATGTGTGATAACCCTCGGGCTAAACTAGCATCAGTCGCCTCTTTCTTTCTCTTTCTGTCTCTCTCACATGACAGAACATCCTTAGGGTTCTCTGGGACTATGCGACTTTATTATATCATTATTTAATGTAGTTGTATTCTAGTGAGCAGCCTGTTTGTTACTTAGTGCTGTTAGATTTCAAATTATATAATATTGTATAAATGCAACTCAATGTCTGTCTGTCCACAGCTGAATCGCATGTCCACAAATGCATCTCCTAATATTGACTTTTCCCAAGCGGGGCTCTTGGTGTTCAATGCAGATTGTTATGTTAATAAGCCAACTTTGGCCAAAGATACAAACCTGTTTCCAGATACTCCAATTTATGACCAACCAAAATTCCTGCACATACCTGAAAGAACAAAGGATGAGTTTGAAAAAATTATTCAAAGTTTAGCTCAGGTTAGTATTTCTTTTTAACGTGTCAAACTAAACTGTTATTTCTAAATTCTGAAAGTACTGGCAACAATCTTTATGCAAAATTATGCTGTTGTTATTTTGCTGATTGAAATTTCCAAGTGAGATGTCCTCAAGCAGTAATGGGATTTTATACATGGAATGCATTTATTTTGAAAGTCATGAATTTTTGTTATCTCATTTTAGAATAAATCACGGGAAAGAATGAGTTACAGAAATATTAAGTTGATTATTTTGACTTGTTGATCAGTTTGCCTCTTAACAATGCTGGAAGGCACAAGAGTTCATGATTTGAAAGTGTAATCACTGGTCTAGTTTCCATGTAATTTCTCAGAAGTCCTATGTAATATATTAATCACGATTGTTATATGGGATATTGTTCTCATCATTACAGTTGTGGTGCTTCTCCTCCGTAAGAATGATTTTTGTTGAGTAATATACTTGACTCTTTGGTATTTATGCACTTCACCTGAAGTTTGACATTTGCTTTTTATTATTTTATCTTCCTTGGAAAAAAAACTTCACAGGGAAGGCAAGTTGAAGATATTGAATTGAACAAACCGGCAATGGGAGGTCTAGGATTCAGTGTGGTTGGTCTTAAAAATGACAGTATGGGTGAACTTGGTATCTTTATACGAGAAATACAAAAGAATAGTATAGCTGACAGGTAAGACGATGTTTTAATCATATTCTATTGACATTGGTATATGAGAAGCTTAGTTTTTTTTTTATAAAAGGTTCTGATATTTTTGAGAAATCTACCTTAAGTTATGTTCAGTCTTTTCAGTTTTCAAATTTCAAGAAATTTATGATGCAGTTTACCTTTGTTTTCAGATTTCTGAATATATGGTGAAACCTTTACAATTGTGAAAATGTCATTTACTTTTGCGACATTGGGCAAATGTAATTCCCACACATACACAAAACAAATAAACAGGCAAAACACAAATATTATGAGTGGAGGGAAAACAATAATCTGAAGGACACAGTTGTATAACACGAGTCCAAATTGGAAAACTGAATTAGTTTCACAATCTGCTTGATACTTGCATGATATCTTGATGTTACGTACAGAGCAATGATCAATCTGTCGATCAATCACTGGTTCCCTGGTTGGACCTGGGGTCAGCCTTGTTGTCTTTGGGCTTTAGAATCATTTCAGATTTTACTACTCTTCTTAACAAATTGGGAGAACAATTTCACTGAAAAAGGGGAAAGAGAAAGATTGATGAAGCTAGCTTCTGGTGGTGTCCTTGATTTCCTCTGTCCCCATTTCACTGTTCTCATAGGATCTGTGATAAACTTCAGCCTGACCAATCAGAGATTAACTGTGATTTTTTTTCTTCACAGATGCTGCCACACCAGCTGAGCTTTTCCAGCAACTTCTGCTTTTGTTCTTTTTGTATTGTTTCGTATGGATCAGTGAGGTTCATTTTCTTTTCCAAACTGGAACCAACTCCATATACAATCTATCTTCTTTTGAAGTGGTGTCGATGTTGCTCACTTTCAGTCTGTAGCCCAAAGAATAAAATGATGTAGTCCCATTCTTCTGCCTGTTTAAGCTGAGCAATTCAACCTGGGGAAGCTATAATGCTGAATGACTCACATCCCAAACATTGGAAGCAGCATGTGATAGACAGAGCTAAATGATTCCATAACCACTGGATCAGATCTAAGTGCTATAGTTATGTCATATCCAGCTGTGAATGTGGTGAATTTTAACAACTACCAGAAAGAAGAGCTCAAAGAATGCCTATCTGCAATGACGGCAGAGCCCAACACATGATTTTTAATTTGATTTTATTTATTATTGTCACATGCACCAAGGTACAGTGAAAAGTATTGTTTTGTGTACTGTCCAGGCAAATTGTACCTTAGGGTAATAGAACAGAATGCAGAATATAGTGTTACAGCTACAAAGAAGGTGCAGAGAAAGATCAACTCTAGTGTATGAGAGGTCCGTTCAAAAGTCTGATAACTGCGGGAAAGAAGCTATTCTTGAATCTGTTGATACATGTTTTCAAACTGTATCTTCTGCCTGATGGAAGAAGGCGAAAGAGTGTATAACCAGGGTGGGAGGGATCTTTGATTATGTTGGTTGCTTTCCCAAGGCAGCGGGAGGTAAAGGTAGACTCAATGAATGGAAAACTGGTTTGCGTGATGGACTGGGCTGTGTTCTCAACTCTCTGTAATTTGTTGCAGCCTTGGGTAGGGCAGATGTCATAACAGGAAGTATTCGCAACAATCTTCAGCCAGAAGTGCTGAGTGGATGATCCATCTTGGTTTCTTACTGAAGTCCTCCGCATCAGAGATGTCAAACTTTAGCCACTGTGATTCACTCTAGATGATATCAAGAAATGACTGAAGGCATTGGATACTGCAATGTCTTTGAGCCCTAATGAGATTCCGGCAACAGTAACGAAGACTTGTTATGCAGAATTAGCTGCAGATGTAGCCAATCTGTTCCATTAAAGCCACAATACTGGCATCTATCTGGCGATGTGGAAAATTGCCCAGGAATATCCTGTCCACAAAAGGCAGGCCAAATTCTATTTGGCCAATTACTGTCTCATTGGCTCACGCTCGATTGTCAGTAAAGTGGTGGTAGGGATCACCAACAGCGCTATCAATCCACATCTCCTCAGCAATGAGCAACAAGGAGATCTCTCCAGTGCTTGCCGTCATACCGAGCACATAGGTTGTTATTGGAGGTAAATAATGTCTGTCCTAAGATGTTTCCGTTGGTGGAAGAGACTAGGACCTGAGGGTACAGCCTTAGACTAAAAGGAAGACCATTTTAGAGCGGAGATAAGGAGCAACTTCTTCAGCCAGAGAGTGGTGAATCTATGGAATTCACTGCCACAGAAGGCTGAGGAGGCCAGGTCATTGAGTATATTTAAAACAGAGATAGATAGGTTCTTGATTGCCAAGGGAATCAAGGGTTACGGGGAGAAAGCAGGAGAATGGGGTTGAGGAACTTATCCGCCTTGATTGAATGGTAGAGCAGACCTAATGGGCTGAATGGCCTAATTTCTGCTTGTATGTTTTATAGTCTTACATCACTGCAAGAGCCCATCACAGTAGTGTCAATTTCACAGCCTTTATTCGCTTCATCGATGAGCTATTTTCTGTCAAAATGTCAGAATGGAGATGTTCAAGATGATTGCACAATGTTCAGCAGTATTTGTGACTCCTCAGACTCTGAAGCAGCCTCCGTTCATTGCAACAAAACTTGGACATTATCTGGGCTTGGGCTGATAAGTAGCAAATAATATTTGTGTCAGATCATCTCCAAAAAGCAGCAACCTAATCATCGTCTTTTGACATTCAGTGTCATTGTATTCGTAGAATCCTCACTATTGACATCCTGGGGTAAATATTGACCAAAAACTCAATTGCATCAGCCATATAAATATTATGGGTACAAGAGCAGGTCATGGAGGTAGGGATTCTATGGTCAGAAACTCTCCTCCTAATTCCTGAAAGCCTGTTGACCATCCAGAAACTACAATTCAGGAGTGTGATAAGATACTTTGCACTTGCAGTGAGTGCCTCAACACTACTCACCTTTACTGGCTCCATCCCCGCCTCTTCGACCTGTTTGTTTCCTCTCCACCTATCCTCTCCTCTATCCCTCTTCTATCCGCCTCCCACTCTCTCCCTATTTATTTCAAAACCCCCTTCCCCTCCCCCTTTTCTGATGAAGGGTCTAGGCCCGAAACGTCAGCCTCTCTGCTCCTATGATGCTGCTTGGCCTGCTGTGTTCATCCAGCCCTGCACCTTGTTGTCTCGGATTCTCCAGCATCTGCAGTTCCTACTATCCATGATTCTGAGCACCATTTTAGACCAAGCAGCCCGTTTGACACTTTATCCACCATTTTAAACGTTCAAGCTCACTGACACTGATGCACAATGGCAGCAGTACGTGTCACCTACAAAAATGACTTTAAATTACTAATAGTTGTCAAACATTTGGGTATTAAATGAGATATATCATAAATTCTGATTCCCTACAACCATTTAGCCTTGACAAAGTCAAAGAAGTTACAGTTTTATTATGTGCTGTTGAAATTCATTTCACATAATGGAATTACTGGCTTTATTGTCTTGATCTAAATTCATCATGATGCAGCAGTTTAGGGCTGCTAATTCATGAAGGCACCTTTTAATGAACTGATTTATGATCCTGGCATGACATTCAGCCATTAAAGTGCAGAAAAGGAACAATGAAGCTGAACAATGGATTATCTACCACAGCTAATGAATTAATCTGAAAAATACATATGAGCATTTAAATAGAGAAGATGACCATTTAGCCCTTTGAGCCACTCCACCATTTAATAAGACTGATCTGTTCGTGCTCCGATTTCCAGATTCCTGTCTACTCTGATAGCCCTAGATTCCTTTGCCTGGCAAAAAATCTATCCACCTCTGTCTTGAAAATATTCAGTGCCCTTGCCTCCACCACTTCTGAGGCAGAGTTCGAGGGCTCACAGCACTCAGAAAGAAAGCATTTCTCCTTATCTCTCTCCTGAAAGGGCAACCCTTAATTTTAAAACAGCACCCCCTAATTCTGGACTGATTGACAAAATGGAATAACTTTTCTGCATCAGGATCTTGTACACTTCAATCATCACCTCTCCATTCTTCTCAGCTCCAGTGGGAGCAATCCCAGCCTTTCCAAACTTTCCTCATACGACAACCTACTTATTCCAGGTACCAATCTAGTAAACTTTATCTGAACCCCTCCAATGCATTTATATTCTCGTGAATAAGGAGAACTGCACACAGTATTCAAGATGTGATCTCACCAAGCCCACTATGAGCATTACATCATTACTTCATATTCAATTCCTCTCATAATAAAGGATAGCATTCCATTAGCCTTCTTGGTTACATGCTGCACCTGTAAACTAACTTCTTGTGGCTCATACACCAGAAAATCTAAATCCCTGTGCACATCAGAATTCTACAGTTTTCCATTATATAGTACCCTTTCTTTTGTTGATTTGTCCTGCTTAAGTGAACAACTTCAAATTTCCTGACATTATACTCCATCTGCTAGCTTTTTGCTCACTCAGTCGACTATCTATACCCATCTGCAACTTCCTTATTTCTTCTTCACAATATACTTTGCCACATATGTTACCATTGTCTGCTGGCATGCCTTCACTCCAACCACTCCCATCTGATGTACATTTTAAAATGTTGAGGCACCAGCACAGACCCATGGGGGCTTCCACTTCTCACATCCCAGACTCTGTTATAAAGAGGAGGTTGACCCCACCTCTGAAAACTAAAACCGAAATATGCAAAGAGGAGCACTTCTACCGATTAATCTGTAAAAGGAGTGTGCAAAGTGCACAGCAACTTCTAGTGGTTAAATAAAATAAATCTCTGACACTCACTTTACAATCAATGAGTAACAATTTATTTATCTAACTCCAACAGTGAACAAATTAACGAAATTAGTAACAAACCGAATAGACCCCATCTAACTACTAACTATTCCCACGTAAAACCAGATTCTAATGGTATGCTGTTCCAATAAATACAAGTTCCACATAGAGTGTGGAAATAGAATTTAGTCTTTCAAAATTACAGCCAGGTTACGTGTCTTCCGGAATGTTCTATCAGGAACGCCTTCTCGTTCAATTCTTCTGTCAG